CAGGTTGACTAAGAGAGTATGGTGGGAGAAGAATTCTCTAGGAGGTGCCCGGTAGTCCTGGAGGACTCCACTGACCTAGTGTCTTTGTACCTATGCATTCTGAGTGAGAATAATGGCTCTGGGTGCGGAAGTACTTACCAGACACTGGACCGGTGCCAGGTTTATTATTATTGTTATTATTATTACTATTGCATTTATTTACTCTATGTATTTATATGTTGCATACGTGTATTTGTGGTGGTACATGTGAGACGTGGCACATGTGTGGCAATCAGTGGACAGCATGAATGTTTTCGTTTTCTCCTTCCACCATGTGAATGTCAGGCATCAGGCTTGGCAACAAGTCCCTTAACCCACTGAGTCATCTCTGCAGCCCAGAATCAAGTGCTTAACTTGAAGATGCATCATAAATTCCTGGAATATTCCAACACTCCTAAGTGGGTTTTCTGTTAGTCCTGTTTTACCATGAAGAAACTCGGGTTTATGGAGTTTGTCATTGCTGTAGAGCCCACAACTAGTGTGTAACAGAACTATGCATTATCTCAAACTTCCAGAACCCTCCACTCCATGCTATGCACATCTGCAGAGACAGTGGAGCTGCCCATTCATAGACCCAGACTTCCTGTTTTGTCACCCCACCCTTTAGCTGCCATCATGCACCTCTTCTAAACACAGCCTGGTACACACTGTTTGGGCCCAGTCTTTACCCTGCTCCACCCCTGCCTCAGCCCTTGCCTGCGTCACACCAATGTATCCTTCAGTACCTCCCATAGTGCTCCACTGGTGCTTCCCGGGGGGGCCATGCTAAGCACCCCGCTCCTTGCTCCCAAGGCATCCCTTGTAACACTTATCACATCACACTGCGGCCTAACTTATCTCTCTCAGTAAGACTATGGGTCCTTTGTGGCAGAGACCAGATCAGCTTTGTCTCTTCTCGTCCTAGCTGGAATCTAGGATGGAGTAAAAGCTTCATAACTACCTGTCAACCTGAATTTGCTCAGTGTATGTCCAAACTGGGAGGCTGAGGTAGCTATACCTATAGACATTGCAATATACTTTGAGATCTAAGGAACCTACACCGATCATTTCATGTCATCTTCTGAAGCTGATGATAATGTTCCCACAGATGAGGAAACTGAGGTTCAGTTTTCTCACGTTCGCGCAGCCAGGAAGTGTTCAGGCTCGGATTTGACCTCATGTCTCTCTGAGTCCAAAGTTCTCTCCCTCACTTCCCAGATCACATCTGATTCAAACAACTTACACATGTTACCAAGGGCGCTGTAACAGAGATAAGGTGCTGGCTGAGGGTCATTCTGTTTGCGCTCCTTTCCTCCGCGGGTCTCGGCCAGCAAGGTGACAAGGCGAGAAGAGGGTCCTGGACAGGACCAGCGTATGCTGCCTCTGTCTCTTCCCATTTACTCTCTCCCTGTGTGTCACAACCTGAATGTTTAAATTTTGTATTTAGTATTTACTCTGAAATGGCTTTCATCTGATTTCCCCCTTGCTCACCAATTTAGCTGTCAGAGTAAATAAATGTGAGGCTGGGTCTCCAGTCTCTCCAGCTCACATTACCTTCCTAGAATTACTCCCGGCGGGGTGGAACCACTGCTGGGGGCCTCCCACAGAATTATCCGGTTACTAATGAAACCCCTTTTCAAGCCCAAACCTTCAAGGACAACAGAGTCTCAGGTGGGGGGAGGATGGCAAATCCACCTCAGAGGACCAGATGACCATATCCTGTTAGAGACCAATGGGAGCTGAAATGATGACATTAAAGATGCCTGGTACTTACTTAGCTCTAGAATGGAGCCCACATTTGTAAAAGTATTAATTAGTATTTAATATGCGGTTAGTTTTCACTCCATCCCTGAGGAGTGAGAATGGTTAGCCCCGGTGCAAGCTGGAAAACTAGAGTTCTGAGAGGAAAGTGACCTGCCCACAGTCTCCTGCAAGAGGAAAATGAGTGTCTGAGCAGACTAAATGACTTGCTCTAAGTTTGTCGGTCTGGCTTCATTCTGCTGCAGGAGTCTGGGCTTGTGGGAAGGAAGATTTCTTGTCTGAAGAGATTTCATTTTTGTCTTTGAAGTTGGATACGCTCTGGGCTAGAATAATGGGTCTGCTGCTCCTTGGATGAGTTATTCAGGAGAGCTTTTAAGAGTTTGAATTATGCCCTGCCTAGCCCAGAAAGAATCTGAAGTAGGATCCAGTAGAAGAAACACTACCAAATCTGGTGGGTCCATGCCACGGTGGCCCCTAAGATTCAAGGGATGGTTACTGTGTGACAGACATTCTGAGTCACCGGCATCTGTTTCACAGTGGGGTGGGGCTGTGCTTAGGCGATGGACTCTGTTAACAGCCCCACCGAGCAGGGGAGGAAACTGAGGCTGAGGGAGTGAATGAAGTTACTTGCTAACCCAAATAGTAAGGGGCATTGTGGAGGCTGGCAATGAAGTATCAGCCCTCAGCCTTCTGACTTGGGTACTGAGTTTCCTCTTCTCTCTTGTTCTAGTTTTGATTTTTCTGGGGATCTGGTCAGAATCCAGGTGTGGAGCTGTGTGAAGAGAGCAGTTTCTGCTCAGAGTGCCAAGACTCAAATCTAGATTCCAGTTAACATGGGCACTGTATTATTTTCATAGAGTCACCAGAGGATTGAAGAGGATGGTGCAGACAGAACAGAGCTAAGTCACACAAATGGTGATTACGCCTTTGTTGTAGTCATTGCTGTCACTCTGGGAGCACGTACTTCTCACTCCTCATAGCAGGGGCAATACCTGTTTACTGTCGCTAGACCTTTGCTGCTGTTTCTCTACCCAGGAGTGGTCTTATGTTTCTCAAACTATGTCAATCTCAATTGCCATTTTGTTTCAGTTGATCTTGCCTTGCCTAAGAAGCTGTGGAGGATCAACACAGCCTTCAAGCCTTGTCTTTTTGGGTTTCTATGCATGCCCCCTACTGGGTGTTGCCCTCTGGACTCTGCCACAGAGAGAGGAGAGGAGAGGAGAGGAGAGGAGAGGGGAGGGGAGGGGAGGGGGGGGGAGGGGAGGGGAGTAGAAGGAGAGAAGAGAGAGGAGAGAAGGAGAGAAAGGAGAGGAGAGGAGAGATACAAAGACAGTACTGCTGTTTTTCTGTCTTTGTTGATGAGCCAGAAGTCATATTCATATTTTTGACAAAATATGGAAAGCGTGTGTGTGTGTGTGTGTGTGCACATGCTCACCATGAGTGGTCATAGTCATGGGTATAGCATAGAAATCAAGGTTATAAGCTCTGTAGGTGAATCTGGTTTCGAGTTCTTGGCTCAGGCAGTTAATAGCCATGTGGCATTATGATGGTCATGAGTTCTTCAAACCTCAGTTTAAAATGGGTAAAATGTGTGCCATAGGGAATGCTGCCTCACACAGAAAATAAGAGCATTTTAATGCCTATTCCAGACTAAAGCATCCAAGAATAGTAGTGTGTACGTGTACATATGTGTGCATGTACACACCTTACTTACTTCCAAAGTGTAATCTGTTTTCTTTAGTATAAAAGAGTGGTTCATAACCCTTCTCTCTAAATGCCTGTGCCTGAGAGCAAGAAATCACTGCAATGCAAGGGCTAATGCCATTAGCTAGGGCTGTTGCCAATAGCTAGGGCTGATGCCATTAGCTATGATGCCAATAGCTAGGGCTGCTTCGGCCGGAAGGGACTGATAGGCGTCTCTGAGGCTTCAGATGGGTTCTTAGTGTGTGGTGGGGTATAGAAAAGGTTCTCGATGTGTGTTTCTGGCAATGCCTACTTGTGCAAATGGAGACTGACAGCTGGGAATGATGTTCTTCACAAAAGTGTACATTGCTTTCCCTTAAGCCTGGTGCCTGGTTTCCCTGGGTCGCCACCTGTAAAAATGCAGAGCATAGTAGGAAATGTCAGATAACAGACAAGAGGTTACATGGGATCTGGAGCTCGGTGGGAGCCGGGACTCTCCTGAATATGACTGTGTGTACAAGTGGAAGTGTGATTGTGGGACACTGTTTACATCTGTAAATGAGAACAATTATGGAGATGGTGATCTCTGTGATGGGTGGGTTGCTGTGCTATGCAGGACTGGGTCTAAATCTGAGAGTGCACGTTTTAAAAGAAGAGTATACATATTTACACGCTTCTTTTGCACAGTTTGTGTGTGAAGAAGGAGACTGAGGTTTATAGTGTTCATTTGTGTTTATCAGTGTAAGGATCTTTGAGTTTGAGGGCTCTGTGTTTGGGGGGCTGTGCCTCCTATCTACATGTCTAGGTCTCTGCCTTTCCCTAACTTTCAATATTGTTAGAGCACCATAGAAGGTAGAAAGTGTAGCGAAGCGAAGTGAAGGTGGATGTCCCCAGCAATTCCTTAGGGGAACTACCCACTGCCACCAAAACACGCTGTTCTGACCTCCGTTCTAGTCAGTCCTTAGGAGCTAGTATAGGCTCTGGTTGTTCTGGAGCAGAGATATCTTTGCAGGAGAGTGAGGAGTGTGTAGATGTCCGGAATCTGAGGGATTGGTGTTAGCAGGTAACCATTTGCAACCACATGTACACAAATGTGCCGGGCTCGGCACGGTATCAACAGAGTGTGGCTTCACATGGAATCCAGCTCTGCAGATGGGCTGACCACGGATTCCTCTCGCACTTATGAACCCGCTGTGCGAGGGCGGTGGGTGCCCTTGAGGGAGAGGCGGTAGTAGGAGCTGTGAGGATGTAAGCCCGCCAGTGTCTTTGTATGTTAGCGTTTTCCCAGAGTCTCTCTGTAGCGCTGAGTTTCAGCGTGTCTCTCTGTGTGTATGTCTCTGAGTCTCTGCCTCCTTGTGAGTGTCTCGCTCTTCTTAGCGGGGAGGGGATTGGTCACGCATGACTCATCTTGAACGGAGCGGGGCTCCAGCGGCAGGGCGGTCGTCGCCGCAGCTGGAAGGGGAGGAGGACGAAGAGGAGGAGGAGGAAGAGGAGGAGGAGGAGGAAGAGGAGGAGGAGGCAGCAGCGGCAGCCGCAAAGGCAGCTGCAGGGACCTCTCCAAGTTTGTCGGGACCTTCTTCGGAGGAGGCAGTGGCGCCGGCAGCCAGGGAGGCCGGGACTGCGTTCAGGCCGGGGGCGGGGGCTGAGGCTGGGCCCGGGGCTGCGGGGCCCGAGCCTCTGCTCTCCAGCTCTCTCAGCAGCCTCTGCCCCCAGGGCGCCCGAGGCCCCCCTCCGCGCCGCTCGCGGTGCCGTGCGCTCGCAGAGCCCTCCGCTTCCGTGCCGATGTACTGGAAGCATGAGAGCGCCGCCCCGGCACTGCCCGAGGGCTGCCGCTTGCCGGCGGAGGGCGGCCCCGCCACTGACCAGGTGAGCTAACTGGAGAGTGGGTGAGCCTCTACGGTCTCGGGGCCAGCGGGAACCAGATTCAGATCGGCCGGGCCCAGTGGCGGGCAGTAGCAGGGAGGAGGGGTGCTGGGTGAGCCCGAGGAGTGTGTGCCTGCGAGTGTGAGAGCGCGCGAGCGGGTGCGGGGGGGGGGGGTCGCGGAAAGCGGGAACACATTATGCAAATGTTGGAGGAATTTCTCAAAAAGCGATTTAGCAAAGACATAGGCGAATCAAGAGGAGGCGAGGCCAGTATTGTCCGTCTGAATAGGCGCTGATAGCGCCGATGCGCCAGGGGTTGTGCCGGCGCAACGCTGAGAATCCCGACGCCCGGCCGGTCCCGGGCGCTCCGAGAGTCTGGAGGGTTCTCTTTCATCCTCCAGGAGGCCGCTCTTTTCTCTTTTTTGGCCTCACTTCATTTGCCGATCTCGCCCTCTTTGGCTCCAGGCTTCCCTTGGACTGGCCCTTCCAAAGGCGTTTGAATCGGTGTCAATATCCCCGCTTCAATTTCGCGGCGCGCGTCGGGCGGGAGGGCGGATGCTCCCAGTGCTCTGGGTTTTATTTTTCTCAACCACCACCACTACCACAATCACCCCCATCTCCTTTTTATTTTCTTTCTTTCTCTGTTTTCTCCTTTTTGCATTTTGTGCCTAGAGTAGGAGAAGGGAGGGGTGAAGGGAGAAAAAAATTCGATTTTTAATTACTACCATTAAAAAATCAAATTTGCAATTCTTTGGGCGGCCTGATGGATCTCACTGATTGACAGTTGGAATTGACACTCTGGCTACCTCTTATCTTGGGCATTCACGACAATTTCTAATTGCAGGTAGTTTGTGTGTGTGCGTGTGTTTTTTTCCCCCCTCAGAGGCTTGGATTGCAAAGGAACTAAGCGATTACTTCAAGAGCCACGGGTTAAGTGCAGGGAGAGGGGGAGAGAGAGGGAAAAAACCCAATCCAAATTCAAATTGCTTCATTAGAGAGACACCGCTTTTGTGGGGAAGGGCTTTAAATGCCCACTACAAAGTTAGGACTCATTGTTCGCCGCCGGTTTATATAACAGGCGCGGGGAGGCGCTGGGTTCTGACAGCTCCGAGCCAGTTCATCAGCCGCCGTCGCCTGCATTCCCTCCCCCTCCCCCAGGTGATGGCCCAGCCAGGGTCCGGCTGCAAAGCGACCACCCGCTGTCTTGAAGGGACCGCGCCGCCTGCCATGGTGAGTCCTTTCGGCTCTGCTTTCGGCCCTGAGCTCCCCCAAGAACACAGGCCAGGGCATCTGTGGCTCAGCCTTCTGTCTATCAGCCTCTACCCCTGCGCTGGAGAATTGCCGATAGGAGCCGCCTCTCTTTGAACCTTGCTTTTTCTGGCCTGGAATGTGGTCTTTGGCTACTTTCTGCACCCAGGATACGCCGTGTTAAAAGTTGGGGGCCGCCCCTTCTTCTCCAATAGGTCCTTTCATTCTTGTCCTCCAGCCTAGGGCGAGACATCCCTGGCACATTTCGTTGCCAGTTGGTGCGCAAGGGAACCAGATTTGTTTTTACGGCAACTCTGGGTGTCCGACAGCGCGCTTCGCTTCCTCTTTCCCATTTTAGGCTCAGTCAGACACCGAGGCCCTGGCAGGCGCTCTCGACAAGGACGAAGGTCGAGCCTCCCCATGTACGCCCAGCACACCGTCTGTCTGCTCGCCACCTTCTGCCGCCTCTTCCGTACCGTCTGCCGGCAAGAATATCTGCTCCAGTTGCGGTCTCGAGATTCTGGACCGGTATCTGCTCAAGGTGAGTCAGGATAGGTGTTGCCTGCACGTCAGCGAGCGTGAACTGCAGCAAAGTCCTGGGGACCGTAGGGAAGCAACGCCCTTGCCAGGTCCATTTTATTTGGCGTCCTAGTTCAGCAGCTGATGTATTGCGCAGCTTTGGTCAAGTGTGGGAGGTCTCCTTTTGCCCTGCGTTTCAACTAGAAAATAGAAAGAGCGTATTTCAATTTCCTTGAGCCTCCGTATTATAGAAGAAAACTAGGCAAGCCATACGCCCCTTCTGAGCTTCGGTGTCTCTCTCTGTAAATGAGGTTGGGGAGGCTGGGGGGCGGGAGTGAAAGAGGCCCGCGCTGAGCCGACCCCCCCACCTCCGCCCCCTCCCCAGGTCAACAACCTCATCTGGCACGTGCGGTGCCTCGAGTGCTCCGTGTGTCGCACATCGCTGAGGCAGCAGAATAGCTGCTACATCAAGAACAAGGAAATCTACTGCAAGATGGACTACTTCAGGTAGGCTGCAGCGGTTGGGCCAGGAAGTGCTCGAGCACGCAGGTCTAGCACAGGCGTATCTAGGCTACTAGTGTGGCCTGTGTTCTCCGATTCCTGAGCACTGCCGTCCGGAGTGCACTACGTGGCTCGGGGCACTGGCTCAGCCCTCCTGCTCTGCAAGTCTGCTTAAACAGAAGGCTCCAGATAAAGAACCGGTACTAGCACGAATTCGGGTGGGCGATCTGCCTCGGGTTCCTTCAGTCTGATGGACCCGGTGTTGCGGTTCTGGCTCGGTCTGTGGTCTTTTCAGAGTCTCGGGTTCCAGTTGTGATTTGTCGAGCTTTGAGTCCGTGGTTCTGGCCGGGATGGGTCCGGCTCTTAGCCGCCATCCGTCTGCATCTCTAGCTTTAGTTACAACTTGAAAACAAGTTGTGTCGTGGCCTGTCCTGGGAGGGATCCTAAGTTAGGCTCGGGACTCTTGTTATAGCTTTGCTTGGCTCTCGGTTTGGGGCTCATATCTGCTCCAGCCCCAAGCGCCAACACCACATCTCCAACGCTAGCCCAGCTCCTTGGCACTTAGTCTTAGGCATCAACCTCGATATCTGCCTCTGCCTCAACTTATGCGGTGATCGCTTTTTGAATCTGGGTCATGACTAGGTCCCAGACTCCTGTTCCCTCCACTGCTCGGCCATCGTTTCTGTCCAGGCTTCAGCCCTGCCTAGGTTTAGGTTCTAGCTCTGGGCCCCCAGACCCGCTCTCGCTTTCAGAGCGCGGCGTTACATTCTACCTGGCTACACTCTGTGCTGCTGCGGTACCGAAAGCATGTTCCCTAGCGGCTTATGATCCATCGTTGCTGGTCTTCCCGCAGGGCCTTGATCTTTCAAACTCTTGCAGGCCCCTAGTTTGTAGGCACACAGCAGGCGCCTGCTGACCGGGCCACGGGGTTGAGGTCAAGGCAGTGCCCAGGGGCACGACGAAGGATTTGCCAGATCTAGGCAGGAAGTAGAGAATCTGCTGGAGAATGATGTGGAATTCGTTCCTCGGTGCAATGCCTTCTTTCAAATGCTTTCCGGAAGTGGATAAAGCTGCCCTATGATATACATTCCCCTACACACACACACACACACACACACACATACACATACACACACACACACACACACACACACACACACACACCCTTCTCTTTCAAGAGAAGTCCTGCCTGATTCAATCTTCCAGGGAGGACCTCGGTTCCTGAAAGCTTGTAAGTCAGGGAATGTGGTGGGTGGCCACCCTCAGACTCTTTGAACCTCCAGGGACCTGGAAAGAAGTCCTTGAACCTAGGGGAAGTTAGCAGCACGTGGGACTGCAGTTCTCCAAGAATCCAGAAGCAGCCTTTTCCTTCATGTTGTGGGTGGGGGTGCTCTGCCTGCCTGTCCTTCAGGGAGTCTATACAGTCTGGAATCTGCAGTGGTGCTGAAGACATGTCACTGAGCAGGGTCAGGGCATATGGACAGTGGGTATGTTCCGTTATAGAAAAACGTGTGCCTTGCTATTTGCATGTGAGCCATGAGAGCATAGGTCCTGCGTGTGACTATGGAAACTTTGTGCGTGCCCCACCCCCATGGTTCGCAAGGTGCTCAGGACAGGGGACACATCTGGATGGGGATGTGGGTGGGCAAGTTGGGGTAAGAGGATTGGGACTTCATTCTCCCCCAGGGGTAAAGGTGGGTGTGAAGGCAGAGCTTTCAACCGACCACTGCTGTGCATGTATGCCTTGTGTGGTGTGGAACAAAAGGATGAGCTCCTCTGTCTGATGTTTTATTGATTTAGTTTAGACAGAAAATGAATATTACAGCTGTTTTCTAGTCACCTTCTGCTCTAGGCCTAACTCCTATTAGGGAGAGGGGAGACAACTGTTTGGGACCCCTTTGAACAAGTCAGCTACCAGGGAGCTCAAGAACCCACCAAGCCAGTGTCTAGGCCTTGCATTATAGAATAATGGCTGGGCAGGTGCCTTCTTCTGGCTCTTCTGATGACAAGGGCCGGGATAATCTTACCAACCTTATCCTGTGTCGGAATTCCTTCCCATTTTCTACATGCTGACTTGAGACTCCTTGGATGTCATGCCCTCCAAAAGCTTGAAGGACTCACCAAAACTAGGCTCTCGATCCCATCATTTATAGCCCCCACCAATCCCCGTTCCACTGCGCTGGGGTGGTGGATGGCATGCACAGCCGACCTGAGCAGAGGCAGGAGACAGAGCTCTGTGAGGCTAATTATGACCTTGGGCAAGCCACAACATCTCTGCTCTGTTCCTTTCCTAAGATGGTCTCCTGAACTAAGGAGGCCAAGAGGGAGCAGTCTCCATAAAGGCTCATGAATGGCAGTGAATATGAATGCTTCAGTTATAGCCATTATGGCCGTTGGCAGGCTGGGTGCCAGTCTTGAACCTGTGCTGGCATTTCCCCAGCCTGTCCAGCTGGGCCATTTCTGGGAAGAGGTTCTGACTGATATCCCTTTTCCAATGACAGGCGATCTCAAAACAAAACCAGATCCTAAGTTAAGATAATAGCGTGAATAAAGCTCACTTTGCCCAAAAGCGAGGGTAGAGCTGGGAATTTTCTGATCCCTCCTCTCCCTGCCAGTCTCCATACAGGCACAATTCATCTCTGGCAGCCTCACCAGTAACACAAATAATAAAACCCACGACAGGGAGAGAGAAGGCTGTAGAGCACCAGGCAAGGACTATTGTCTGCATAAGCAGCAACATAGACTCTTCCCAGAGGGTTGAATAATGGTGTGTGGGAGGCAGAATTCCCCCTCAAGAACTGGGGCTAAGAGAAGGCCAGGCATGCTCCTCCAGGCCTCTGCTTCCTGAACCAGGGTCAAGGGTCTGATGGGGTGTGGACTTGAAGTATTCTGCCAAAGGGAGGCAAAAGCTTCCAACAGGGCAGAGGAGACCGGTGAGGAAGAGCATGCCCAGGGTCCCAAGGAGTGGACACTTTGGGTTCCCAAGAGTGTCTAGCCTCTGACCTTGTCCCCACAAAAGGGTTTTATCCCAGATTCTATCTCCTCTCTTCCCCTTCCCTAACATTATCTTGTAGATTTTTCTTCAGGCTCCATTGGCAGAGTGGAGTGTTGATGGCTCAGAAATTAGACAGAGGCCGGGAAGAAACTCCAAGTTTAGCAGGGAGAGAAGTTGCAAAGCATAGGGGGAATTGGGGAGTCTGCTGCTGCTTTGGACTTATTTCACTTGTGGGGGGCAGTTGGTTTCCCCCATGATATGCCCTTGGCTGGGTTTCTGGAGATTTTGGCCTCAGTTTTTCCGATAGCTTCTCCAGAGAGCTCACCAGCCATTGTGAGTTCAACTTGACCCTCCACTTCTCTGCTACTCCTGGCAAGATGTGGCTGAAATGCAAAATCACCAACAGGAAGTGAGGAAGTGGGGTTTGCTTTAATTGCTGTACTTTTTTGGTGGGGGGCTTGAAACTACCCCCAATACATGTGTTCCCCCTACACACACACACACACACACACACACACACTGAAGAAGATTTTGGTGTATGTGTGTGTGGAGGGGGGTCTCACATTCCTTTTTTGGAGCATTCATTTTTCCATTACCATCAACAAACACACCCCAGAGCAGCTCAGTGTGCCTACCTGCAGCTGTTGCCCCATGGTCTGCTTGCCCTCAAAGCACCTGTGGTCTCCTAGAACATTGTGCCCATTAGAGGCAAAGAAGACCAGTGTGCTAGAAGAAAAGCCCAGGGTCACCCAATGACTGGGAGCACACAGTGAGGCTACCTAACCTCTTATCTGTATTCTGTATCTCATTTAATCACGTGATCCACCCGGTATGAAACGTTAGGAGAGGGGAAACTAAAGCTCTGAGGAATAAGGTAGGCTCACTAATAAGTGGTAATCTCAGATTAAGCACTATAGCCACCTGGCTCTAAAACTTCTACCTCTAAGTGTCCCTATGCCTCTTCTACAGTCAAGATACAGCTGCCACTTTCTGCAATTGTAAGGCACATAGAACGGCAAAGACCTCTCTCTGCTATCGCCCTGATTCTCATCCAATTTTCCCGATTCACATAAAGAGCACCCACTATATGCTTGTATGGCCCCAGGGGCAGAACAGAAGTAATCTTTTCAGAAGTTGATAACTAGCAACTTTCCTGAGACCAAGGACCCTGGCCCTTATCCCTTTTCTCTTTGACAAAGGGAATGGGAAACAGAGAGTTATAGGGTTGCGGCTGAGAGCCCTCGTGATCCAGGGCTAACTGAAGTTCCTATTCTCTGCTTGGCTTACAACTCTTGGGGGTGGGGGAGGGGTGGGGGAGGCAGTCTTCTCTGGCTTTCCACCTTGACTCCAAGCTCTGTCTCTGGACTTCAGCCCCTTTCCTCAAAGCTAGGGTCCCAGGGGAGGCTAAGAGCCTGGACTCCAGCCCCTCACCACGTGCAGAGAGGCCCAGCAGCAACCAGCTGTTGGGGGACAGATGTGGGGGGGGGGGGATGGAGAGAGCTGGGAAAGAAGGAGCTTCGGGCCAGGACCTCCAGTCAGGCTTAGGCTGCTGTTTAACCTTTTAATTGCTGGTTCTACAGCCCTTTTCTTTTTAAGGGTTTTGATAGAAAGGACAGGAGGGGAGGTAAGAAGGGCTTCGCTTCCAATCCTCCCTGTTTACCTCAGGAAATCTATGGCTTTCTGTCTTGAACGTCTAAAACTCAAAATAAGTGATCTCCAGTTTCTTTCCGTCTTAAATGTAGGAGACCCCACCCTGAGCTTCGTTTCCCCACGTAGAAAAGAGCAATTTAGTAGGTGGGGAAAGGAATTCCAAAGGGCTCGGGTTTTTTTTTTTTTTTTTTTTTTAGAGGCTCCTTCACCCAACAAATATTACAAGCATCTTCAATGTGTCCAGGGGAAGTAGGTCTAGAAAACTGGAAAATGAGTCTGACCTGGTCAAGGGTGCAGTTCCGCCTACAAAACCGGCTAACCGGATTTCTGCTTTCCACTGTGGGGAGAGGGCAAGTTGGTATTCCTCTGTCCGGCACCTCTCCATCCTCAAAGCTCGTCAGGCCCTTTCCGTCTCCGCGCTGGAACCCTGGCGGAGACGCGCAAAAAATCCAGATCTCACAGCGTGGGTGAGGGTGTCAGTAGAATCATCCCCCAAACCTTTAGGCAACCCCTCCACAGCTCCCAAGCATCCCTTTCTTGAAGTTTCGTTGTCTTTGCCGCCGACGCTGATTTTCGCTGCTTCCGGAATAGAACGGCTGGATTCTCTCTCGAAGCCTGTTGGGCAGAAATTTGTAGGTTTGTCAGATTTGGATCGTAGCTTCCCGTCGCTCTTTCTTGAGGAGACTTTGTATCTTGGGACACAATGCATCTAAACACAGCCACCATTTCTCCATGGATCTAATTGGAGGAGGATGGTTTGGTTGACTGAGCCAATTTGTGGCGCTTCAGTTTAGGGCTGAAGACAGCATTTGAAGTTATGTGCAGAGGGTGTGAATGTTGCTGGCGAGTGGATTACTGGCGGCACTTACCCCGGAGCGAGGGGATGGGGGTACTATGACCTATCTCTGTAGGCACCAAAGCCGGTGAGTCCCGGGGAGACTGGGACCAGGATCCCATGGAGTCAAGTATGGGGATAGCGTGTGCTGGGTGCAGAGGACCATAGCCAAAGGCTGCTGCTCGGATTGCCAGCCCTTCCCTACTCTGCCTTTCCTCCATCTCCGATTGGCACTTCTCAGAATTTACTTCAGGAGTGGCCAGCATTAGACCAAGGTCAATACTGTCCCCCTCTGGGATGCCAGGTGTCCTCATTTCCATTCCTGCTGCTCCTAAGTCCTTCAGCACCTCGAGGGGACCTCAGCTCCCACCATGAACTCTGTGTTGTGTGGAATAAGTCAACTGCGGTTTTTGAATCTCTGACTCCAGGGGTGATAATAAGTTTTGGAGTCTGTACTTCACTGGTTCCAGCTAAGATAATGGGGTGCACTGAGCTGGGAGGGGTGTGCTTATCAGAAAGCAAAAGCTCTGGGAAAGGCTGATTGTTCCATCATCCCAAAGTACAAACAATAAAGCCTGCCTCCCATGGGTGGCCAGAAAGCGGTTTCATTGGGGCTACCACCAGCAGGACTGGGGGTGGGATATTGGCAAAGTCTCCATTTTCTGAGGGATTAGGAATAGAGACCACAAACTGTTCTAGACTCCCCCACAGAGAAGCCATGATTTCTGAGATCACGAAAAGCATCTACTTGGGTGGGGTAGGTGTTTGATTAGGCAAAGGGCTGAAGCTCAGCCTGAGCAAACCTAGAGGCGTGGGCAGGGTCTCTGGACTCCCTTTGTACCAGAGATTAATGTTGTGGAGTTTGTGAGAGAGTCCGAGGTGATGAATACGCTGCATTTTAGCATTTCCAACAGCCAATAACTTGAATTTGCCAAAACAGGCAATCCCATGGTGTGACTGGAGTGAACTGTGCTGGGCTGTTTATCCACACACAGCAGTGTGAGTGTGCTTTCCAGAGGAAAGGTGCTGGCCTTGGAGACAGAAACACAAATCCTTTGGGTATTCTTAACCCATCTCCAAGAATGCCAAGGACAGAAGGGGCAAGCCAAAGATCCAGACACTTAAAGACAGCATGATCAGTGCTGGTAGTGTGAGCAACAGAGGTAGGCTCTGGGGGAAGGGATAACCTGCCAAGGCCTGGGGCTGGGAAAAAGTTGGGGGTGGAGAGAACAACAAAGAACAACTGAACAACTGTGGCTTGTTCAGGGTGGGGGATACTGGAGATTAGGAAAGAGGTGGCCCGAGGAGGATGTGGTCTGTTGGGTTTTGTAAATCCGAAGCATCTTGGACTAGACCCCAAGGATAGCATGGAGCCACCAGAGACTTTAAAAGCAGGCCAGGGGACAGGATTCTGTGTTCATGCTAAAATGTTAGCTGCTGATGGCAGTGTGGATGATACATTGACACTAATCCTGGAAAGTAGGAGCGGAATGCAGATGGGGCAGAGAGAGGAGCCTGATGGGGACCAGGCCAGGAAAGACAGCAGTGGGGACGGTGAGAATGTAAGGGTCTGATATCCACGCTGGAGGGCTGGGTGGTTGCTGGTCCTGCTTCCTGGATAAGAGTGTGCACCAGAGGAGACAGGCTTAAGCAGGCTAGGTAGCACTTTAAGGGACTCCCAGCCTGGGATCCAGGCTGTAGCAGCCTAAAAGCCCCCTTGCAAATAGCAGAGAAAGAAGGGGAAGGGACAAACAGACATGCAGAATGAAAAGAAGACATAAGGGACAAGGGAACATTTGATCTAGACTTTTTTTCCCAATTAGTATTAGGATGTCATGGGCTCCAGAGTTCAGGACTGCTCGGGTTGACTGCAAGGCTCTAAACTCACAGTAGCAGTCATTGCTATGGTCATCTTCATAGCTCAGATCAAGGAAAATAAGAAGTAAAAGCAATTCAATGATCTGTGGGGTCTCAGAGTCAGTGAGTGCATGCAGATGTATCCTGAGGAAAGCTTCCTCTTTGGAGTCAGGCCTGCTAGGGTCCCTGTCCTTGTGTGGTGTGTGACTCAGCCTGCCCTAGGTCCTAGGTTCCTGATCTCCTCCTCTGCAAAATGAGAACTGAGACTAAACTCTGTGAAGCATTAGAATCTTGCAAGGCAGGCAATGCTCAAAACTTTCCCTGTTTTGTACTGTAGGGTTTTCCTAACACTCATAGAATATCATAATGAACAAATATACAAATGTTAAGTGATTGTTGTGGAATATTTGAGAGATTCAGTAAAGCAAGAAGAAAATAAAAATCTCGCTCTCAATCACTTCTTGATGGGACTTGGATGCACGGGAGTAAAGGATTCAAGTGTAGGGTAATTGTCACGTGAACCCAGGGCAGTGAGTGCCCTGAGCGATAGAGTGGGAGACTTTCTGAACTTTGTCCCCCCCTTTGTCCCGCAGCCGATTTGGAACCAAGTGCGCCCGATGCGGCAGACAAATCTATGCCAGTGACTGGGTGCGGCGGGCGCGCGGCAACGCCTACCACCTGGCCTGCTTCGCCTGCTTCTCCTGCAAGCGCCAGCTGTCCACCGGGGAGGAATTCGGCCTGGTTGAGGAGAAGGTGCTTTGCCGCATCCATTACGACACCATGATCGAGAACCTCAAGAGGGCCGCGGAGAATGGTACCCAACCCGTCCTACCCAGCACCTAGTCCCAGCCTTTCCCCTCCATCCCTAGCACCTAGGTATGGTCCGCACAGTTGTACCCGCTGAGCGGTCCTTGAAATATCTGAAAGTGGATTGGGGGGCGGGCGCGGGGAGGTTACACTTGGAGCATGCGCTCTGACTCTATCTTTTGTGTGGTCTCTACTGGTCCTTGCCTACAAGCGCATTGGCCTGTGGAGCACCCTACCCCACCTGCCAGCTATCTGGGCAGTCCTTTCCACGTCCTTATGGGTCACACGAAGCCAGAGGCTAAGGGTGGCTCATCCTGGATCAGGGGTTCTGAATATAAAGGTTTCAAAGGGACCTGTGGAGACAGGGCTCCACCATACAACGCCAACAGCTGAGGTTTCCCTTTTTCTCTAAGGGATTCTTCCTGCCCTACATCTGTGCAAGATATCTAGATGATGGTCTAGAATGTTCCTTGAATCTCCTCTGGCTCTGACATTAAGACCTTTCTAAGACAGATATCTCAGGATCAGGGTGAAAATCTTCCAGCATGCCAGGGGGGTTGGGGTGATGTATAAGGGGAAGTGGGGGACCCTAGTGGATCTGTGGGCAGAGACAGCATAGTTCTGCTCTCAATGTGGCTGGCTGTGTAAGTAAGTCCTTACAACACTTTTAGGAGCTTTGTGCTATCCGTAGCTAGGAAAGAGGCAGAGGTTATTTATGTCTAGAAGGTCTGCTAGGGCCCTAAAACCCAGTGTTTTAAAAATATCATAACATAGCACACTACACTATGATACTTCATCCCTATGCTCCAGACCCCTTCAACAGCCAGGAGACTCCTGAGATGTGCTTGTATCTGTGAGTTTCATTTTTCCCATCTTAAAAAAAAAAAAACAGGTACAGTAGCCCTTAAGCTGACTGATTTTCTTGGGATATTAATATTGCACAGCTCCTCTCAAGGAGCATGGACCTCCCTACCTCAATGTCTGGGTACCAGTGGAGGGCTAGTCAGGGACCAGCAGTTCCTGGCCATGGCCTCACCCAAGGTCATCACTTTCTCCTGCTGGGATCAGTAGCTAAATGGGGAGCAACTGAACTTGGGGCACATTGAAGTTTCCTGTAGTGCTGGACAAGTCGGCAGTGGAGCTGGGTTGGAAACTCGGGAGTCAGAACTTCCTCTACACCACGGTTAATCAGTAAACCACAGGCTCCTTTCACTCCTGGACCACCCAGGGCCACCCTTAGTCATGGTCTGCCGATGACATCCTATGCGGGACAGCTTGAACAGTTGGGGCTTCTGGTCACCCACCATCAGCATTAGCCATCGCTTTTAAACAAAACAACACACACATTCATTACAGAAAAATGAGGAGAGGTGGTTAAGAAAACTTCGAGATGTCGTTACTCCCTGTCTACATTCCCGGTTTGTTCTTTGTACATATAGTTCTTCCCTTCTGCATAGTTCTTCCCCCACTAAAATGATACAACATACTGTGAGCAGAGGTTATCCCTGAGTGGCAGAGTCACTGGTAACTTTCCCCTTCTCGGTGCTTGCCAGAGTTTTGGGCTTTTGATAAGAACAGTGTATATTTTTGTATTCAGAAAAATGAAGTATTAAAATGGGACTTATATCTGCTGGTTTACAATCATAGCTGCAAAAGTTCTATAAAACAGACAGTACCTAAGATATGTTCTAGTTAGTAAACCATACTTTGGAGAAGGTAAAACGTAATTCTTTTAAATACTTCAAAAGTTGCTGGGCGTGGTGGCACACACTTCCAGCACTCAGGAGGCAGAGGCAGGTGGATCTACATGAGTTAGAGACCAGCCTGGTCTAAGGAGAGAGTTCCAGGACAGCCAGGGCTACACAGAGAAACTCTGCCTCCAAACACCAATAATAATAATAATAGATAAATGAAATAAAGAAAGAAAAGAAAAGAAAAGAAAAAGGCACTGAAATACCGAAAGTAAAAAGTCCCCACAGTGATACTCTTGGAGGTAGGCCACTGGAACTACTGGAACCTTCCCACCTCTTCCCTTCCCATTGTTTCTGTGAAATTGGGAGTATAGCTTCTGCAACTGCATGCTTTTGCTTTTATCTCCACCTTGGTTTCCCTCCAGTTTACCTAGGAGGGACGACAGGGTCAGACAGGCTCCAGATCTGAGATAGAGAATCTGGTGCTCCCACTCAGGAGTTTCTTCTTTCTGAGCCTTAGTTTTCTCTCTTAAAAAATAAAAAGGCGATTAGTATTGAGAAGAGCTCTAGGCTGGGGACTATGACCTTGGGATCCCAGCGCCCAGCCACCTCGCTCCTGACCCTTCCAGGGACAAGCTCCCCCCACCCGGTCCTTTCCAGGCTGCCACTAGAAGAGATGGGGACGCGTGGTCAGCCGCTTCTGTCGCCCCCCAGGGAACGGTCTCACGTTGGAGGGGGCAGTGCCCTCGGAACAGGACAGTCAGCCCAAGCCGGCCAAGCGCGCGCGGACGTCTTTCACCGCAGAGCAATTGCAGGTGAAAACCCCGACCCTTCCGCTAGCCCGGAGACGAGTGGGCGGGGCCTCGGAGTGGGCGTGGCTGTGTGGGACTGGTGACTCCACCGCCCCGCGGTGAGGCCGTGCGGGCAGAACTGCCTGGGGCGTGGCCTCGGGCCCCGAGCCTCTGATTGGGCTGAGGTCTCAGAGCCCTCGTGTGCTCCGCAGGTCATGCAGGCTCAGTTCGCGCAGGACAACAACCCCGACGCGCAGACGCTGCAGAAGCTGGCGGACATGACGGGCCTCAGCCGCAGGGTCATCCAGGTGGGGCTCCAGGGTCTCGGCCTTCAGGTCTGGGGCGGGCCTCGGGGCGAGCGCTGGAGCTCGTAGCGGAGGGTCGCGGGTGCACGTGGCCGACCCTCTCCAGTGTGGCCTAGGTCCCCTGGCGGCGCGGCTGACCCTTTTCCGCGATTGCTGAGACTGCGGAGGCTGTCGTTCCAGGTGTGGTTTCAGAACTGCCGAGCGCGTCATAAAAAACATACACCGCAGCACCCGGTGCCGCCCTCAGGGGCGCCCCCATCCCGCCTCCCCTCCGCCCTGTCCGACGACATCCACTACTCTCCGTTCAGCAGCCCCGAAAGGGCGCGAATGGTTACCCTGCACGGCTACATCGAGAGTAAGTGATAGCGATTCTGGGGCCGCCAGGCCTGTGGGGAAGGGGACGCTGAGAAGTGCTCCTCGGTTTGTTGGCGGGGTGGGGGTGGGGGATCTGAAGACTAGTGGATAAAGATGTGGGGGGTGGGTGTCAATTTCTCGCTCTTCCTTAGTGGGTCCGGCCCTTGGTAGAGGGAATAAATAGTAAAACTTCAAGCAGCCACTGAGTATGTGCGTGGGATGGGGCAGGAACCTGCGTTCTGACGAGCAAGACAGCCTATAGGAAAGATGCCAGGTGGGAGTGTGTGGGGATGCTGGAGCCAGAGGAGCATTGCCTCTAAGCAAGCTGAGCTCCGAAGGATGGGCTAGACTTACTGAGGAACATACAATGGGGAACTCAAAGTGGGCAAACCCTGGCTCAAAGGGCATCCTGGCATGGGTGCATTTGGGGAGCTGAGGCCAGGATGGCATGACCACCCAGGGCTGTGAGGCCTTTGGACAAGTCGCAGACGCTCCTCCAACCCTTCCGTTTCCTCATCTGTGAACTAGAATAGCAATACTGCCTGTCAAGGATGTTGAGAATTTAGTGACATGGGCATCCATCAAATGTGTACTCTGAGTGCCTCCTGTGTTCTTAGCACTGAGATAGAAGAGTCAGTAAATAGGTCAGAATTGCACTGCTCCTGGGACTCACATCCCAGTGACGAGGGACAAATATCTCTATCTCAGTCTGCCCCTCTCTTCCTCCTCCCTCCTTCCTGGAGTCCATGTGGGCAGGCAGGATAGCAAGTAGTCCCAATAGGGACAGTAAAGGTAGGATGTGGGTGGGCGGTGAGCACCAGAGGGTGGGTGGGTCATGGCGAAACGATCTTGAAGCTGGAAGCTGAATGAGTGAAGGTATGGACTGGATTTCTGAGAGCCAAGCAGTCACTGAGAGCCAAGTGAATCTGCTACTGAGCTGGTGCTTATTACAGAGTCTCTTTCCCTTTGGGGTCATTTCCTCAAGCTGGGTATGACCAAAAAAAAAAAAAAAAAAAAGGTATACACACGCATACTCTCAAGCAATCATCTGTGAACTCCAACTAAAGGGGGAAAGACAGGACCAAACTCTTGCTTAGAGAGCACCTGCCTTGTGCCCGAGGCGATGCCTTCCGAGGCTCTGAAGATCATTGGTCATTATTCCATTACACAGACTAGGAAACCAAAGGGGCGACTGTTAAGTTCCAGGAACTCGAATGACTGAGTGTGGACTGTGGCATTGTAACTGCCTGGGATTGAGCTACAAAGCTCCTTCCTAGCTTGGGGACACTGGGCAAATTTCTTAGCTTCCTGGATTGCTAGACAGTTTCTTCATTCCTTAAAACTGGGGCAGTGAAAGCCGGGCGGTGTTGGCGCACGCCTTTAATCCCAGCACTCGGGAGGCAGAGGCAGGCAGATCTCTGTGAGTTCGAGGCCAGCCTGGTTCCCGGACAGGAACCAAAAGCTACGGAGAAACCCTGTCTCGAAAAATCAAAAAAAAAAAAAAAAAAAAAAAACCAAACTGGGGCAGTGAGAGTGCCCCCTCAAAGCAGTGCTGTGGGCAACACTGAGATAGCTGACTTAATGGCCCCATTAGCTGTACAGGCTAAGCATCCGCTGCTTTGGGATGCAAGGGGCAGAGCCTTCTATGCTGTGCCAGGCTGCCAGCTGGCACTGTCTCGGGACAGTTCCATTTCTGAACCTTCTCACCAGGAGGGACACTTTCTCCCTTTTGTTTCTAAACAATGACTTAATGTCCAGCCTGAATAACACCTATTAAACACTTGCTGAAGGTGCCAAAGACTAGGGACTCTCTTGGCAGCCAGCTAACACTTGGTGTAGAGCGGTAACGGGTCTAGGTGACTTCTGTCGGGAGTGGATCAGGACTCTGTTCATGTATTATGCTGATCAAGCCTAGATTTGTCTTTGATTCTAGAGGAGTCAGGACATGCGCACCTCTGCTGCGTGACCAAAGGACAACCTAGCCGTTTGCTTTGCCGTGAACTGAAGACAAGAAGTCTTGGGTTTTCTAAAATGTTAAAACTGTGAACTTAGAGGGTTTAGAAGTGGACCCAAGCAGGAGTGGGTGGGGTGCCTTTCCATTGACAGTCAACTAAATTCAGTGCTTAGAATCTAATTTAAATAATTTAAAAAAACCGTTGGAACCAGATTCCAGAAAATGTACAGACACAGTTATTTGAGTAATTTGAAGCTGTTCAAAAATGCCTTGTAAGAATTAAATAGGATTGCCTTACCCTGCAGAGGAGAGAATGGTGTCTCAGGCACAGCAACTTGGCCCAGCTGACTTATCGCTTGCAAGTGTCTGTTTAGGCGTCATTGTGAGCAGGCAGGGCAGTCTGCAGAAGAGACAGGCAAATGAATGCCTCGCTATAGTGGTAAGCAGGCTGAAATGCGTGAGAGATTTGGAACAGAACCAATAATAAACTTTTCTCAACAGTTTTAGATATTGGAATAGGGTACGGAAGTTCATTCAACCAACATTTAAAGAATACCTCGCAGGATTGGGGAGATCACTCAGCAGTTAACGGTATTGGCTGCTCTTTAGGAGGATAAGGGTACCAGCTGGAGAGATGGCTCAGAATTTGAGATCACTGGCTGATCTTCCAGAAGACCCTAGTTTAGTTTTCTAGCACCCACATGGCAACTCACAACTGTCTGTAACTCCAAGATCTGACACCCTTGCACAGACACACTTAAAGGCAAAACACCAATGCAGATAAAATAAAAATAAATTTTTTAAAAAGAGGATAAGGGTTTGATTTCCAAAACTCACACAGCAGCTCAGTACTGTCTGTAACTCCAGTTCCTCCATGGGCACAAGCACATGCAAGTAGTGCACAGACATACATGCAGGCCAGGCACCTATATGCATAAGCTGAAATAAGAAAAGAGTGCCTTGTATATTCTATGCCCCATCCTAGGTACCTGAAAGCCAGTAAGGTCAGGTGTGCATGGGGGAATGTCATAGAGCTTGCATTCTAGTTGATGAAGAGACAGTATTAAAAAAACAATGAAATTATATGTAAGTTGGGTGACTAGGGCTAGTCAAGAAAAAAATGAAGTGCAGTCAAGAAAAAAAAAAAAAAAGAAAGACAGGCCTGTTTGTTGGGGCTGCAGTTATAAGCAGAGCAGTGAGGACAGGATCATAACCTGCCCTTGTTGACGCTCTGGAAATCACAATGTGTGGGTGAGGATCTGAATAGATGGGTACATCCTCTTTGCAGGAGGGCCTCCGGACATTCTTATAGGAATGTTGACTTTCCAGTGAGCTGGGCTGTAGCACAGCAGAGTCCTACACGTACATAGCATTGCAGCCGACTCATTTGGGACAGTTCCCAGAGCCCCTCAGGTGGCAAGCAACAGAGCTAGAGCCCTGAGTTAATGATCAGGCATGAGCTTTCTGAGCACACAACAGGTGGGGATCCTGTGTGGTGCCTGGGGAATGGGCTCCAAGGCATCCTCTCATCCACAGGTCAGGTACAGTGCGGGCAGGTGCACTGCCGACTGCCTTACACCGCGCCCCCTGTCCACCTCAAAGCCGATATGGATGGGCCGCTCTCCAACCGGGGTGAGAAGGTAAATGGAGCCTGGCTGTTCCTGGTGGGTCAGAGCCTTCCTGCTGGGAATGGGTTTCTGGCAATATTCCCTGTGACTGAATGGGTACCATGCCATGCTGTGGCAGATCACTCAGGCCCCCAGTGTGTCCCCAAGGCAGTCATCAGAGCAGCTTGTGGTGTGTTTCATGTGCTTGACTTCTCTGAAGTCGTCCTTGTAGCCCTGTCCCACCCACTGGCAGCGAAACTGTCTTATTTACCTACTCTGAATTTACTCATGGAGGTTCTGGAGAGGGTTTCTGTCCTACACCGTTCCACTTCCTGTTTTGTATCCCTTTTTTCTGCCTGTTGGCAGTACCTAGTTGTCTAGGGCCGGAGGAAGCTCATTCCCCCTGGGAATGACAGGTGAAAGGAGCTAGGTCTACTTTAGATGTAACCAGCAGTGGGTAGGAACATCATCTCTAATAGTCCTCAAGGCCGTTATCCCCAGCAGCTCCTTATTTCAGCGCTCCCAGGAAGAGAAGCCCACATGTGACCCAGGGTCCACTGGCAGGGCCTTCTCTGTAGTAGCGAAGCTTTGTTCACTCCAGGATTAATACTGAATTTAGTGAAGGGTGCACAGATGTCGCTCAGTCTCGTGGCTTGGTTTAATCTTATCCACAGGTGAAAGTAGCTAGGTCTACTTTAGATGTAACCAGCAGTGGGTAGGGACATCGTCTCTAATAGTCCTCAAGGCTGTTATCCCCAAGCAGCTCCTTATTTCAGACATGGAGAGCCAGAGGCTCAGAGCCTGGGTGAGGGGAAAGTGGTGAGAAACAAAGCCCTAAGGATGCTAGGTGGGGACCTTGGGTTTTAGCAGGCATCTGGGTGATGGTGGTCCTCAGTGGAACTGGGTAGGGTGATCACGGGGGAAGCAGGAAGCTCTTGGTGTGCCTGGGAATCCCAGAGGCATCTTGGGAAGGTGCTGATCCTCAAACCAGGGGGAATGAGCGCTGGAGGCTGGCATGAGTGGTGCTTGGGGAAGAGAACACTCCTGAGGAAAGGTTTTCCTCACTGCTTTCTGAAACCTGCTGTGCGCAGGGCTTCCTAGGAGGTGGGCGCCATGGGGCAGGGGCTGGAGGGTGGGGGTCCAGATGGCCCAGCAGGACGGTATAGTAGCATTGCATGAGACTCTGGTGAGCAAGCTCCAGGAGGATGAGAGCTGCTGACTGTGGAGCCTAGCACTCTGTACCTTTATAAAGTTAGCACTTTATAACCTTGAGGTTAGCACTTTATACTGGCTGACATCTCCCAGCTGCCTTTGGTGTGGGCATGGCCTTCTCTTTTCCTTTCTTTTTGGCGTTTTGTTTTTGTTTTTTGAGACAGAGTTTCTTTGTGTAGCCTTGGTTGTTCTGGCGCTCACTCCATAGACCAGGCTGGCCTTGAACTAATTCACCGAGACCCGCTTGACTCTGCCTCCTGAGTGCTGACTTGAAGCTGTACTTGACCCTGGGACTGCACAGGGAGAGCACATAACCTCTGCCCTCAAGGGCTCTGTGGTATAGATAGGTTTTGGGCAGTTACATTGTAGGGTGATGGAGCAGACAGAATGGGGAGCAAACGTGACCCCAGAAGATTCAGAAGGGGGAGTGACAAGCTCAAGGGGAGAGGCAGGGAAGAGAAGGGCATCCATGTCAAAAGAGCAGCTGGTCCAAAGGCATGGAAAAGACAGAGCTAGAAGGACCGCTGGTGCTCATTGTGGTTGAGGCCCAGGAAGGTAGGTGAACTGGTAGAGGCCCAGTCCCTGGAGAGAAGGGTTTGAGTCAGGAGCTGCAGCAGTGCACAGGGTTGAGCTCAGAGGAAAGCCTTTGTTTCTCATATGCTGAGCTGAGCTGTGGTTGTGTCCGGTTCAGTTTGAAAGATGAGCCAGGCTGGGTGATGGCAGCTTGGCTCTAGGTTCTTGGCCTCTGGGTTTGTTTGTTGAGCCAGAATCCCTCGCTCTGGGCTGTGTCCCCAGTTTTGTAGCCAGAAGCTCTGTGGTACAGTGTGTGTCCTTCCTTCATGACCTATTACCCTCTTGCTGTCGGGCCTGCTTGCCAGCTCCTGAGCACCTCTGCTAGCCACAGCTGCTCATGCATGTGCGTGCAGTCTGCCGGCTACACATGTAGGGCGGGACAGATGACAATTTTAGCTTTCTCCCAAGTCCTTCTGGGAAACCTCTGAGGATACCAGAGTCTCCTTGGTGCTGGTTCACTTGTTCACACTAGTGCTGGCAGCCAGGCAGTGGGGCTCACGCCTTTAATCCCAGCACTTGGGAGGCAGAGGCAGGTGGATGTATGTGAGCTCAAGACCAATCTGGTCTACAGAGAGAGTTCCAGGATAGCCAGGGCTGCAAAGAGAAACCTTGTCTTGAAAAATAAAAGCCAAAAATTAATTAAAAAAAAAGGACTAATGCTGTCCTGGCCAGCCCTGATCACTGGAGCACCTTGGAGCTTTCTATGTCCACGACAACATCATTTGGCCCCACATACCTTTTAAGTTCCGAGAACTACATTTCTTCCTGGTCATATACCCTGATCCCATAGCTCTAGCATGTAGAATGGTCTTAGAAGTCAGGGTTGGTTGGCCTCCATTAGGTGGAAGGAATGCGACCTGCAGAGAAAGGTCTGACCAGAGTTATTTCCTAATAGGAGCTCAAAGCCAGGGGTCTGAAGTTTAGGCCCAGAGGAATGCTGTGTCCGGGGCTGGGTGAAGCATAGAGTATGACCTTCTGAAGTCAGGTGACCCAGAGTCCCAGATCAGCCACCTCCTCCCCAGAAGACCTTGAAGTACAATTAGCTTCTTGCGACTTGAGTTTCTGCCTCTGCTAAATGGGGCTGTAATCATTTCTGCCATCCTACGATGCTGTAGAAACGGGAGGCAGTGTGTGTGAAGAGCCCACACAGGTGCCTGGTGCACAGAAGGTACTCAGCAGCTCTTGCTTATCAACATCTTCTCAGTGCTCCCCTACATGTGGGAGATATGGATGCCTGAAACTGTGACATGATGAGGCTCAATTCATAATTGGGCAAGTCAGAGATTAATAAAATGGCAAATAATAGAACAGTCACAATATGCTGTGTATCTGTGCTGCTTTGTTCCTGGGGTCCAGAGAAGAGCACACAGTGGCTCTCCGCTGCTGCTCTTGCTCAAGAGACTTTGCCATCCCGACTTACACATGAGGAAACGGGCTAGGAGAAGGGAAGTGAGCTGCCCAAGGTCTCACAGGAAGTAAATTGAGGGATGGGGTTTAAGCTCAGGTCTAAGCTCTGGAACCCCACCATTGTTCTCCAGGCCTTGAGGTCCCCTGTGCTGCTTGGTGGGAAACGCACCAGCTCAGCCACTTGTGTTGCCCTTCTCTTGCAGGTCATCCTTTTTCAGTATTAACTCTACCGGCACTTGCGCATCTGTCCATGGGCACCGCACAGCTGCCCCTCAGCCGCTGAGATCAGCATCCAGCTGTGGCCAGGGATCCACCTCTGCATACACTCTCACCCACTGCCATCCTGCCCTCTGCCAGTGGTCACCCCAGCCCAGGCCCGGTCTTTCCCTCCCCTGCCAAGAACCAGAACCCACCAGGAGCAGCAGAGACCTCTTTGAGAAGGCAGGTTCCCAGAAATGTGGCATCAGCCTGAAAACAAGCAGCCTGCCCTTCCTCATCAAACAGGAATCATCGCTAACGTCAGCTGATCACAGCAGCAATGGCAAACTGAGTCGCGAGTCACCAACAGTCTCCTACTTCACAGGTTTTCTTCCCCCCACATTGGCCTTTATTTACTACTTTCTTAGAACCATCTCTAAATTCTGAATAGCCAGCAACCCCCAACATTATATACTCTGTTGCTTTTGTCTGGAAAACTCTACAGTGTTTGTGGGATGTCCCCAAAGAAAAGCTATGTTCTAATTTTATCATTTCCATCTGTCTGGTTATGTCAAGTTAACTCAGAAAAAGAAGAGATCCTGACCAACCCTGAGAGGCCCAGTAGGGCGGAGATGGAGGCCTGCCCAGATGAAGAGGCAGAGGGGCAGGCAGGGGTGGATGCCAGAGAACACCCCCCATTGGCATGGAGGAGTGGGACTGGGTACACTGGACTTGGTGGGGTGCTAACCATTTCAGCTACTCAGCAGGAGTCAAGGCAAGGATGTGTACCATCTGCATAGTGACACTGCTGAATGTTTGGGTGGGCTGGCATCAGGGACCCTTGTAGACCACTTCTCAGTCCTGAGAGGAGGGCCTGAGCCAGTCTTCTCTGGGGGTGGGGTGGGGTGGGGTGGGAACAGAACCCAGTGAATGGTGGTCCAAATATTAGTTCTGATTCATGCTGGAGTGAAGAGAGGTGCCCATGGCCTCAGTGAGTAGCCAAGCCCAGGATTTCAGCCGGCACCTCTGCAATTTCCCCAGCAACTCTGAGCAGAGCCAGATCCACCCATTCCTGAGAGCAGAGGCCAATTCCAACTAAAGGTCTCAGGGTACACAGGGCCCCTTCTGTTTTCAGGGGGTGCCCATTTGTCCCGCACTTATCCTGTGATTACAGAAGCACTTGGTGGGCTGATGCACTTCTCACATGAGGCTGCTAGCGGTGTGTTTTCGCTGGAGTCCTCCTCCTTGCTTTGAGAAGGAGACTCCAGGACAGGGAAGGCAAGTTTCTAGAATGAATGCTGTCCTTACTTCACCCGTGACAGACATCGCTAATCTATCACAGCACTCTATCTCACGGAGTCTGGATAAGGTTTCAGAATCCCCATGCTTGAAATTAGCACTTGATGAGAAGCACTGTGCTATTTGCTGTGGGACCTGGAGGAAGGTTAGGCATGGGTGCCGCCCCGGAAGGGAACTTTCATCATTTCCCTTCCAAAATTGTCAGCTGACTGAGGACAAAGAGAAAGCACCTCCCAGAATGCTGTGAGCGTGGTTCAGTTCGGAACTCCAGCAAGTAGCCTGTGCCAGGCACTGACTCAAGCAGGAGGAACCTGGCCTGATCTGGCTTTGGGGAACCCAGATCTTTCCTCTGATTTTGCTCCTATTGATCAAAACCCCAATTGCAACCATGTGGGAAGTGGCCAGCTGAACCCAGGTCACTCGTCCCCACTCTGCCTTGAGCCTTCCCCCGGGGTCTAATTTTTGTGTGGATCATGTGGCAGTAGCATGTTGCAGTTCAGATGTCTCCACTACCCTGTTCAGAACAGCTTGGGAATGTACAGGCCGACAAGGCTATTTATTTAAATACACACAGAAAAGGGGGGAACACACAAACGGAAAAAATAGTAAGCACTTTTTTTTGTAAACCAATGTCTGTTTTGTTTCATACCTTTCATGTCGTGCTTTGTAAATGTCTTATTTGTGTAATAAATAAAGTTAATGCAAGTAGAAGTGCTGGCACTTAAATCCAGAATATGATGGGATTCCATTTCTTTCTTGCTCTTCAGTTAAGGTCTTAGGTCTGAGCTGCCGGATGGCACCATAGCCCAGGCAGTGGACTGTGCTGAGGGACGGTGACGGGTTTCTTCTCTAACATTGTGTCATCCCGTGGATTGACTGCTTTGTGGGAAGCCAGGCTGGTTGTTGACCTCTGTTCTGCTCTCTGAATGCCAACTGTCTGCTGTGTTCTGTGCTGCTCTGCCTCAGAGAAACCTCAGTCTGGCCAGTGCTGTCCACAGGCATTCCTCTCATATGCTGGGGAACTGAGGGGAGGCATTTGAGCTGGATCCAATCCAGTAAGATACACGGAATAGGTGAAAAGAGAAAGTGTTGGGGAGGGCACGGAAGAAGAGACACAGGGATCCTCTGGGGAAGAATCCAATATGATGGCTCCAGCTTGAGCACAAGACTGACTCATGATGGCTTAGTCAGGTTCTAGGGCTACCACATATGCTGGTCAGTGGTCTGGTGGTTGTCAGATTCATTCCTCTGGAAAATCTTGTTCAAGTCAAAGCCCCAGGCGTTGAGACTCAAGCTGCCTATAGGGTATGGATGCTTTCCTTACCTCCTAGAGCCCTTGTGAGACAGGGTCTCTTGCTGAATGTGGAGCTCATCGATTTGGCTAGAGCCACTGGCCAGCAAGCCTCAGGATCCTCCTGTCTCCATGTCCCCAACACTGGAATGACAGGCACATACTACTGTGCCTGGTGTTTTACTTGGGTCCTAGGGACCTCAGCTAAGGTGCTCGTGACTGTGTGGCAGCTGAACCATCTCCTCACCCTTTACCCCAACTCAGCCCTCCTCAACCCTCTATGCCCAACATTATTTCTGCCTCTCCAGTCTGTTTTAAATTCTATTTGGATATAACGGAAAGTATACACTTTGTCTGTGTGCACGAGTATGTATGTGTTTCTTTGCTAAGTGTACCTTCTGTTTTGAAGACCCAGCTTGAGAACCACCGATGGACCCCACCCTATTAGTTTTCTAGGGTGTAGCAAAAGCCTTAGAAGGAAGAGATGACTTCCCCAGGTCTACTGCATGGTGCAGCTAGCTTCAGGGGACCGAAACCTCCCTTGAGTGGTGGCTCTCCTCCAGGTCCTCTCTGAATTCCTAGTTTGAGAGTTTTTTTTTTCTCTGAAGATCTCAGCAATCTATCCCTAACCTGATCTCTCTTCTGTCTCCACAGGGTAGCTTGGGTAAACCAGCGATCATAACCTGGGGTCCAAAGGGGGGTCTCCTCCATGGACTAGTCATGCAAACATAGAGGATGCTTGAGGCCTTTACCATTCCCTCTTCTGCACAGCTAACAAATGTGATCTCTGGGGTGATGATATGCACAGCGCACAGATTTACTTTTCTATCTGTTTTTTATATTGGTCCTCACTGTGTAACCTGGGTTGGCTCTTGCATGTGTGGTCCTTCTGCCTTACTCATCAAGTGCTACGATACAGTGGCACAGATTGCGATTTCAGGTCAGCATTGAACCCCGCCAGGTGTCACCTCTCCAACTGTCTCCCTGGAGTCACTGTGGTGTTCTGTTGTTTTGAGCATTCTTTTAACTGTTTTATAGATGCTGGAAGCTGAGGCTCAAAAGAACTGACCTGCCCAGAGTTGCATGGTGGGTGGCTGTGACAGAACTGAGATTTGAATCCTGTATAGATGCCAAAGCACCTGTGGATCCAGTGCCCCGAGGGAAAGGCGGTCCTGGGGGAAGGTGCCACCGCTGAGATGAGACCTACTGAGTCACCAGCCAGTCACATTTCTCTGAGCCACAGATTCCCCATCTTCTCTTAGCTGCTCATTCAGTTATAAATATGGCAGAAGATGAAGGTTCTTGAACATTCCATGTATAAGAAGTAATTGGGAATGCAATATCCATATATTCTGACAGGCAAGTCTGGGCTTGGGCCCAGTGCTACCAAGGTGATACTGAAACAGGTGAAATGGGGGTGTCTTCTAAAGCCCTCACCCTCGGGATTATTCAGTGCAGGAAACCTTTATTCTGAAACTTAAACCGAAGCCAGAACGGCAGCCATGCATGGGCAGAGGGAATCACAGCTTGGGGTTCTGTGCAGGCTTCTCTGCCCAGCCCTTGCGGCAGGTCCTGACGATCCACTCATGTTCATCATCATCTGTAGGGAGAGAAGACAGTTAGACCTGTACTCACTAGGACCCTCAGGCCCGGCCCTGGGAGACCCCCAGGTGGGATCTTGGGGCCTGGGTGCCTTCCAGCACCAACTGTTGACCCCGGTGTTTAGCTCTGAATGGCTGGAGCCGATCTTTGTTTAACTGTTACAGCATCCCTCAGCAATGCTCCTAGGCTGGGAAAATGGACCACTAAGTTAGAGAAGAGTGTGTGATTTGAGGACGGAGCTGATGAAGACAGCCCGAGAGCATTTGGCCACCCTGAGTTGATTTGATCCTGTCGGGTGGAGCGGGCACCTCACACTCAAACAAGCACCTGCTGACAACCATACAAGCAGCAGCCTTCTCACACTGGGCCAGACTTTGGCAGAAGTGCTAGGAGACAGTGGGAGACACGGAGGAGACTGCTGGTGTCATCCTTTCAGAGACGGGATGCATCTGTCGCATGGCCTCCCCAACAAGGGCATCTTTCCCACCACCGTGCAGATGAGCAGGGGCTCACGGGTCTGGCCACAGTGCCCAGCCTCCTGGTCAGCATGTGGGAGACCCGGGAGGATCTCAGCCCATGGCTGACACTTCCAAGCTTCACAATCGAGTGAGCACCGATCTTCAGTCCATAAGCAGCGCCCCCCCCTTTCTTTATGGGACCCTCTGTGAATTTATCTGATTTTCCTTTTCTCCCTCTTTCTCTTTTAAATAACACCCAGTCCCTCCCCCAGCACAACAGGGACCCACTCTAATAGCAGGGCATGTACCCCTAAAAATGCATGCAGCTTTGTAAAATATGCCCTCTTGTTTTGTGTGCAAATGTGTTTTTAATTTACAGAAATGGCATTGTGCTGTGAGCCACATTGTGTGGGACTTCTTTCCATCTGGGTCCGTTTCACTTTTCCTGTGGCCAAATGCACAGCTAGTTCTTTGCTTGTTACCACTGCCTCATGTTCCGTAGCTGGCTGCTCTCATGGCTGACTCTGTTCTCCGAGGGTCACCTCCAGCTTCCCAGAACCAGGGACACCAGGCAGAGTGGATACATGGGAGAACTTGCCTGGGTTTTGTTCTGAGAGGAGCACCATGGGGCTGCACACATTTTACTCACCTGTACCCCCTACCACCTGCCTGTCCTTCCTGTCCATCCCTGGCCTCAGGATAGCTTCCTCTGGGTCACAGAAAGAGGCATTTTCTCCCCACCTCTGCTTAACCCACTGCCTCCCATAGGAGAAGGGGACTACCCATTCTCTTCAGGTGACAAACGCTGGACTCTGAGGACCAAGGGGACTCACTGAAAGCTGAAAAGCAGGCTAGTGAAAACCTCCTCCAGCCCTTGCCCAGGGATACTCCCTAGGGTCTCCAGGCCCACACTGGGAAGAAGTTCGTGGATACCTGAATGTGTCACACAAGCCCTGCAGCTCATTGGGTCTCTGTAAGAATACAGCAGGGGTTGGGGAGATCATGTCCCAGAACTGAGGTTTTAGAATCCCAGCTTCTAGAATCTCAGCAAAGTTCATCTTGGCTGTAAGGCTAACTTCTTGGTTGCAGCTTAACTTCTCACCCCAGGGCAAAATTGATGATGTGAGAGCCAAAGCTGCCTCTGCAAGAGCTAGCCCCTGGTAGGTGACCCTCACGCTAGCCCCTGGTAGGTGACCCTCACGCTAGCCCCTGGTAGATGACCCTCACGCTAGCCCCTACCTACCTTCAGTATTTCTCAATGTGACTTAAGAGAAAGGGCTTGCTAGTGAGAATGTGTTCTGCCCTTGGGAGAATGACCAAGGTTCTGCCCTTGGGCCTCAGTTTCCCCTAGCAGGCTGTCTGAATATCCTCGCTAAGGCTGGCAACCCAAGGGTGTGTGGTGGGGTGCTGCGCTGATTTGTCAGCACACAAGGAGTTAACCGCTGGTGGAGCCCACTTTCGCCACACTGTGAGCAGCCTGGTTGATAATTACAGTTCTGAAGTCTCCAGGCTATTCGAATCAGTGCAGCTGCAGCCTCTTCAGCGGTAACCCCTGAAACCAGACAAACTGGGTGTATTGTGCTGAACCAGTCCTCAGGCCCCTCCCTGATGGTTACAAATTGACAGCAATGGACTTAAGAGCCCTCTTCACTACTGGTTTACTCTCTACCTGGCTGCACAGCCACCAATTTGAATCCCAGATGCCTTTCCTCGGGCAGCTGCTCCTCCACCCTCCCTCCACCTCCTTGGTTCCCCTGGCCCTGCCACGCCAGGGTGAGGCTGCTTGAGCACATTTCATCAATATTTAAAATGGAATTAAACCTGTAGCTTTGATTAATGCCTCCTGGAGCCCGAGAGTAGTGATTACTATTTTGCAAATTGCGATTGTTGGAATATGTTAATATGATTGTCTGAGAACATCTTCACCTTCTAGGGTAATTTTCCTCCTTTTTTGGCAGGAGGGGAGGAGGAGGGGAAGAAAGCAAAAAAAAAAAAAAAAGATGGGGAAAACACCCCCACGAACTCTTTAATCAATTGTAAATGATCAGCCTTGGCAGAGTTGTGGGTGGTGCAAAGGGAAGTGGGAACAGGAGGGGAAGACTTCTGGTTTGGTGCATTTAACATCATCCTAAGTTTTTGGATATGGTGATGCCACTCTGGGACACCATCCTAAGGAAGCAATGTCGTAGTTGTCCCCATACTGTTTAGAATCAAGAGGACAGAAAGTGATGTGGGTTTCTAAATTAGGGAATGGTTACTTTGTTGTCTATTCATTCATTTAACAAATGATTTCTAAATACTGTCCTTGCCAGCAACCTTCTGGCGTGGGGAGGAAGCAGTGGGCTCTCACTGTAGGCCATGGGGAGGGGATATTTAGCAGCCAGCGAAAATAATAGTTGTGGAGTCGATATGGCAACACAGGGGAAATGCTTTTGGTGAGATAATAAGCCATAATAATAAGATGATGCAACAAAACAAAACACCTCCCCACAACAAAAATCTGTGAACTTTTATGCAGAAATCCCTACTCCATGTAAAATTGCGGCTCAAAAAAAATTTAAAGTGATAAAATGAATTGGGGTAACTCTGTGATGTGTGATTTTCCTTCCTGTTTTTTGGTGTTTTCCAAATCTTGTTTACTTAATGTGATCTGATCACAGAAAAATGTTTAAATAATCCTTGCCTTTTTTGTCCTGCCCTGCAGTATAATGTCTTGGTGATCTTTATGTGTTTTGTTCATTGAAATACAAGATTTTTAGGTTCCCAAAAACACTAATGTTTTTATACTTCTAAAAAGTAAAAATTCTAGCACAAAATATTGGCAAAAATACACAAAAATCTGAATAGATGCCTTGCAGAGTGACCATCTCCCAAAAGAAAGGAGAAGAAAACACACGCGTGCCCGCGCGTGCACACACACACACACACACACACACACACACACACACAGTAACTTTGCAATGCAGAAACTGACCTCAGCTAGGACCAAGGTTCAGGACAGTGGCAAGCAAACTCCAGGGAACCTGTCTCCTGGTTCTGTTTGGATAGAAATGGCCCTTACTTTTGTGGGCTTCTTCCCCAAACCCTACAATCACAGTCTGATTGGAAGAGAATCATCTAAACTTTCTGCATGAAGGTACATCCTACAAAATACATGACCAGTGCTCCTTAGAACTGCCCCCCAAACCAACACAAAAATCCTAGTGAGGCATGGTAGTGTACACCTTTATTCCCAGCACTGAGGCAGCAGAGGGAGGTGATCTCTGAGACTGAGTCTAGTCTGGGCTCATAGTGAATTCTAGACCAGACAGAGCTACATAATGAGACCCCATCTGAAAACAAATAAAACCCACTAAATAAAACAGAAAAGCTGGAGCAACTGCCACACTTCAGAGGAGCCCACAAAGATACAACTACATGTGTGAGTGGACGTGAGGGAAAGAAAGGGGATTGGATTAAGCCATAGACCTTAGTTAAATTAGTTCACCAACACTAGTATTGGTACAAATGCACTAGTTTACCAAGTGTGTCACACAACAGTGGCTATGAATAAGAGGATGTGGGCATGTGGCGTGCTGAGAATCGCTGTAGGATCCTCACACTGGGCATGTGACTGTAACTGCTCTCAAATAAAATGGGTGTTTCTTCCAAATGCATGAAAACCGAGTGTGCTCCTTACTGATCAGATAACATTCTCGCCAAGAGAAGCCAGACCCCTGAGCACAGCCAGTTGCCCAAGTGAAAACATTCGCTGTTTGTCTCCCTTGGCCCTCACACCGGATTTCTAACATCCTTTCTTAGGTAATGCCGCCCTTTCCATTAGAACCCCCCCCTTTGGGGGTTGCATATCAGATACCCTACATTATGATTCCTAATGGTAGTAGAAATACACTTACGAAGCAGCAACAAAAATAACTTTATGGTTGGGTCACCATAACATGAGGGACTGTATTAGAGGGTCCCAGCATTGGGAAGGCTGGGAATCATTGGCCTAGAGCTAAGCTCTTGGTGCAGGGACCACTGTACCCAGCACACGTAGGTGCCCAGTAAATGTTTTGCCAGGTGAATCTGAATAAGCCTTTTCCATCCTGATTTGCCTCAGGAGTCTGCAGCTAGAGAGGGAAGTTTCCAGCTAGCCTGGGATACCTGGACCTTCTAAAACACCAGAGTAGGATACTCGCCTGATAGGCACAAGGAAAACTTAAGTTCTGTCTTCAGCGAAAAAAAAAAAAGAATCAAAAAGGCCTAAACAAGAACAAGCCAGCTGTGGTATACTTTAAATCCAGACATCAGATTACTCCTTTTAACACAAGCAACTGTTGATCTAGGTGTGATGCTCTGAGATTTCTTTCAGAAGTCTAAATTCCTATAGTGGTAAAGGCTATGGATTGGGAAGGGGCCTATGCATTTACTTGTCTGGACACAAAGGATCTCATGATGTGTGTAGACTGGGCCCTCATGCTCACCTCCACTCCACCCTCACAAGCCCTGTCTGGATGCCAGACCTCCCTGACAATGAAGCCAAGGTCATGGTTGCTTC